TGCGTGTGTGTGTGCGTGCGTGCGTGCGTGCGTGCGTGCGTGTGTGTGTGTGTGTGTGTGTGTGCGTGCGTGCGTGCGTGCGTGCGTGCGTGCGTGCGTGCGTGCGTGTGTGTGCTTGCCCCCTTTGCTGGGAGAGGCCCCGCCGCCCGGGCCCCTCCTGGCCCTCGACGCCACGGAAGGGCCCAGCGTCGGTCCCCTGCCGCCGCCTGCGATCGGCCCTCGCCTCGCCGCCTGCGGTCGGCCCTCGCCCTCCCCCGCGGTCGCCTCGCTGCCCGTGGTCGCCTCGCTGCCTGCGGCCGCCGCCTTCGAGGACCGAGGTCTGGGGTGACAGATCGGGCGTCTGGCAGCCGCTGCGCTTTCTCTCTGGGCTTCTGGGCAAGCGTGGGGGGGGGTACCCCGCGACGGGGGCCAGCCTCGCCTCGTCGCCGCGCCGCGACGGGGGTCGGAGCGCCTTCGGCGCGCGGCGGATGCCCACGACGGGGGTCGCTGTGGGGCTGTCGGCGGGGGTGACGCCCCCCCGACGCCCCACGACGTTTTTCCTGCGAGTTCTCTTAACGACCTGGTCTGGGCTCGAGCGCACGCGCTCTGCGAACTGGGTTCACGAGCGCAAACTTTCGCACGAACACTTGTCTAACCCCTCCCTTTTGCCTCGCCAGCCCCGCCGCGGACTTCGGCGAAGAGCAAGCGGCACAGGCAGAAACTGCCCGGAGGTCCCCGCGGCTTCCCTCGGAGCGGGGCTGGGCCTCGGGCCCCGCCTTCAGCCACGCGCGGAGGGGGGTAGGGGGAGGGGGGAAAGGCTTCTTAGAACCACCCCTGCTTCTTATCCTTGGAAGGCGTGGGCCCTCCCTATACATGTAAGGCCAGCGCCTCCTAAGAAGCAGACCCCTTCTAAGAAGCCTCCCCCCCTTCCCCCGACCCCCCTCTGCCCGCCGCCGAGAAGAGCCAGCGGCAGAAGCAGGAACTGCCCGGAGGTCCGCGCAGATTCCTCGGAGCGGGGCTGGGCCCCAGGCCACCCCCTGGCGTTAGGTCGGGCGTGTCCCTCTACAGGAGGAAACTTCATAAACGTAGTCCAAGCACCGTCAGGGGACGAGTCTCTGATGATATCCTGGAGTATTTTTGGCGTATTTTTGGACCATCTCTTTTTTTTGTTTTGAACATTTCGTCCAGAATCCGCTTGTAGGGGGACATGCCCGACCTGACCCTGGCGGCGCCACGCGCGCAGGCCTCGAAGGATTGCAAAGGATTGCAATCCTTTAACGAAGGATTGCAACAAAAACCCTTCGAAGGGTTTTTGTTTGCAACCCTTCGAAGGGTTTTTTTTGCAATCCTTTATTGCAATCCTTCGGTTTTTTTTTGCAATCCTTCGTTCTTTTGGAAGCGTCTGCGCGGGGGGTCCGGCCCCTCTTGCGGGGCTGGGGGGCGCCCAGCCCGTTCTGGCAGGGGGGGGCGGCGGCCGGGGCCCCTTTCCACAGCGGGAGGGGGGGCGGGGCTCGAGAGGCAGGTCGGGCGCGTCCCTCTACAGGAGGAGTGGTCCAGAATCGTCCAATCATCCTCTGGGGACGGGTTTTCGATCATCGTTTGAGCATCTCTGTTTTTTTTTGTTGATTCTGTTTTTTCGTCCAAAATCCACCTGCAGGAGGACATGCCCGACCTAATTCAAGCAGTGGCGAGGGGTCCTGGCTGGCCTACAGGCCCACCACGTAAGGTTCTAGTAACAGTAACTTTTAGTGATCTGCACGGAATGTTCTTGGA